AAAGAACAGATAGTGCATTAATGTAAAACTATGAGGCATACAAATAAACCCAAAATAAGTATTTAAAAAACCTGATCACTGCCAAAAGGGTTCATTATGCGAAGAATAATCCCAGCTATAAGCGCACAGAAGAAGGACCGCCACATAGTTTTTAATGGAAAGTAATAACTTGCTTCCTCCAAACTAAAGTTTACAAATTCACAATAGTCAAGATTAGACCAAAAAAATTATTCACCTACCTAAACAAACACAATTTTCTACGAAACCAACCTAAACAGGACCCCACCGATTGGAGCACCGAAAGCAACACTTACTCCAGCAGCCGCAGACGCGCTTAAAATTTCGCGCTTTTTAGCTTCGTTATGTCCATACTTGGGAAATAAATAAGAAAAAATATTTCCAATGCAACAAGCAAGGTGCACCATTGGACCTTCTTTCCCCAAATTTAAACCTATAAAATCATATTTAAAAAAGAAAAAACTATTCTCGACAAAATTTATATGAAGAAATATATTCTATCAAAAATATAAAGCAAGCATACTTCACCTGAAGCAGAAGCCAATATTAGCCCAACAGATTTGATTATGAAAGTCCACTTGCCCAAATAACCTCGTATAACAAACCCAGACAAGATGCACTTGATTTCGGGAATTCCAGAACCACACGCATAAGGAGCAAACACCTAAACAAATACAACATCGCAATAACCCGGTAAGGAAAGACAATGCCGAAGTTATTATACTCACACAGTATAACCATCTTTCAAACAAAAAATTGTTTTCTTCAGCGCAAAAAACTTTTTACTTTTACAAGAAGCACTGTAAGGCCAGCCATCAAAACGCTCCAACTGCAATAAAAAAATAATTCTAATGTTCTGTAAAAAAAGTCTTTATTGTCATAGTCAAATATTTTAGGCCAAGAGATCCAGGCGGAACAATCGTCATCTTTATAGTTACTGTCGTTTGCAGACCAGCAACAGTGTTCACGATCTAACCAGAATCGGTCAGCACAAATTCCATCCTAAACAAAAAACACTACCTCTTTTCAAAAAATAATATTATTCTTATTAATTAATGTTACTTTTAAATCACTCATCCAACGAGCACCAATATCAATAATCCCTGCAATGGCGCCTGCAGCTAACCCAACCATCAAAACGCAAGCCCATCCACTTCCGGCGTCCCACATTGCAAAAAGAGTGCCAAAAGGGAAATCTTTCCTTCTCGCTGCAACAGACTTATGTCGAATTCTATCACGCGCTAAATCTCGCTGCCAGTCAATAGTGTGGAAATCGCCATATTTACTGAAACACGTTATGAAGTAAAGGCGAAAACACAAAATTAAACTTTTGAAACTTCTTCTTGCTCATATAGGTAATCTTGCCTGAATACAGGTGGAACGGCATCTTCCCCAAAAGAATCATCTTCTTCATCTAGACCCACCACTCCACTTCCATTGAACGCAACCGCAGATACTACAAAGCATATCATTTTTTCAGATGAATACGTAGGTAGATTAAAATAAATGCTTCACGCACTTTAGGGTCAAGAATCACATTTAAAAATTTGACATACCATTTAACCGAAGCGAGTAAGAGGTTAATCTTACAGTAAACTTCTAATTATTAACCTCATTGAGAAATTTTGTATTTGAGTATTCTCCTAAGTTACATAAATTTAAGCACATACTCCGTTTATGAACTCGTGAAAGTTGTTCACCATGTACTGAAACAGGTGCAGAGCTTGTAGCCGGGGCTCCAAGAGTATCATCTTCTTCGCCTGACTCACTCCTAATACGACTCCCTTCTATCATTCTTCTGCGGCTTACTGACTGAGACAGTGAAAAATCTTCAGACTCTAGATGGGGCAGCAAAGAAGCACGTTCGTAATCCTAAAAGCACAAATAGGAATGCCTACAATATGTCGCAACATTTTGTAATGCTAATCAAAATATTCAATTTTTAACAGCTCAAACCGATCCACAGGTTCAAATGTGACACTGAAAACAACCTCCTTATCTACAAAATTTCAATAAAAATGGATGAAGATAGGCTTTCAAGAAAGTCATTTTTGCCAGACAGAGATTCATCAGTCTCTGTAGACATAGACATAGAGAAACCTGAACTTTGCTTTATAATTCTCAAAACTTCTGCACTTTTTCAAACTCATTTCCTTTACTACTGCCAATTCTTCGAGACTCGGGAAAACTATACAGTAAATTGCACTTTTTTAATCACAAAAAAAAGCTAGGTGAAAAACTTGCTATCTGGACGAGGCAGTTTTCAGTCCTAGAAAATAAGGAAAACTAGCACTGAACAACAGTATTACAGAGCCAATTAAAAATTTCGTCAGGACTACGACTAAGTACTGTACAATGAAATCGAATAATAAAACTAGCTAAACTATTCTAACTTCATTTTCTTCACTAAAACTGCAGTTAGAAGCGTGGTATAAATTGTAAAACTAAAAAATCATTGAGATAACTCATAGACACTACCAGTATAAATAAACCTTCCATCTAAAGACCTACCTTCAAAACAACTTTTAACTGAAAAATCCAGTTTTACAAAAGCTGCTTTTACTAATACGTACTGTCAATACCAACCCGTAGTAAGCATAAAGATATCCTACTTTGACATCCAGAAATTTAAATTTTTTAATAGAAATTCAGCAACTTTAAGAAACCCAAAAGATAGCTCTTTAATAGTTCCATGCTGCAACAACGAATACTGACTGCATTCAGACTCGGAATCAATTGTTATGTAAAAAGCAGCGATCCGCATACGGTTAAAGTCTGCTGCCAAAAAAGAAAATATTATTACAAAGAAAGCGTCACTTCAAAACTACTGCATACACAGTTTTAAGATTTATAAAAAAAAACATATATATATATATATATATATATATATA